CAACTCACTTACCTGTGCGTACTTCGTTGCACCTGGCTTTGCCCCTGGTTTGGCACCAGCTTTAGCACCTGCGGTGGAACCAACGACCGACTCCTTGCCTGGGGTGGTGGACAGAGAAGTGTCTGCGGGCGGTCGCAGCCCCAGCGTGACCAGAGAGGAGTTGAACTGCTCGCTCCGCACGATGTCGCACATCTCCTCGATCATCGGCTGCAGCGAGCTCTGGTGGGACTGAACCTTGGCCAGACCCCACGACTGGGCACCCAGGGAATCACAGACAGTTTAGTTTTAGTGAGAGTTTTACGGCACTTGCAACACAATAAGGTCATATAGGTACCGAAGATTTTAGTTTTAATAAGTGTTTAAAGGCACTTGCAACACAATAAGGTCATATAAGTGCCGAAGATTTTAGTTTTAGTAAGTGTTTTACGGCACTTACAACACAATAGGGTCATATAGGTGCCCAAGATTAGAGGAGTTACAAGAGAGTGACAAACATTAAAAAAGGAGGACAGATGAAGACAATAGATGTTTGATAGGAAAGAAGGAGCAGACCACAACACAGCACCCGCCAACCACCCATGGAAGAAATCAGATAATTACAATATCATTCCCACTAGTAAGCCAGCTGAGGGTCACAGAAAAAACAGGGAACATTGGGTGGTCACAATTTACTCATTCTGATATGAGAGAAAGTCAAAACACCATCATAATAATAACAATATTATTCAAAACAGCCTATTGAAAGCTACAGATTTTTAAAAAAATTATTAAGTGAGGGATCATTATAATTTACTGATCCTAATGTGTGAAAGCTAGAATATTTTCCTGCATTATGTGAGAGACAAGTGGCAAAGAGGTGAGTGACAAAGAGACAAGTGGCAAAGAGACAAGTGACAAAGAGATCAATGATCACAGCTTCCCCCCGCCACTCACCACTTTAGAGGTGGCCATCTTGAACAGATATTTCCACTCCTTCCACGTGACTTTGTCGTCCAGGGCTACGATGATCTCGCTCAGACGCAGCACGAAAGACGGGAACTGACGGGAGAAAGAGAGCAGCAGTGTAAGACCACATCAGACATTACATTCTTTCTATTCAAAACAACGTTTCATTTTTCACATCTTTCTTCCCCCTCCCCCCTCCCAATAAACACACACACAAAGACAAACAAACAGACAATCTCTCGTGTGTATTTCTAAAAGGGAAAGGAAAAACCTTCTGTTTCTGTCACAATATCTTATCTTTCTGAAAGTCATGACATGTCAGCAGCTTTCTGATACCACAACTGGCATGATGGAGACAAGGGCTTGCATCAAGGAAAAATTACGAATGACCAAACTGCACTGAGATTCAGCTCACAATACATTCACACACAGCCGAATTTGATTAATACCAAGACAAATTTTTTTATAAAACATGAAGCCATCTAAAGGTTTCAACAAATGGATGGGACATTTTTTCCCCCCCAAAGACCATTTTTGAGAGATCATTACAAAATACTTCAAAAGATGAGCACGTAAAAAGTGGACTTCTCTTGACGTCACTGAGCAACACAATATGACCAGCGTGCAACCACACAACGCAGTAACAGCAGAAATAAGTAGGTCGTCGCGCTTACTTCATTGACCAGGTGAGACAGAGTCTGAGACACAGACCGCACTTTGTCCGGCTGGGTCTTCATGTTGAAGTTCATCCTGGAGAGAGAATTTTTTTAAAGTTTTAGTAAGAGTTTTACAACACTTGCAACACAATAAGGTCATATAAGTGCCCAAGATTAGAGGAGTTACAAGAGAGTAACAAACACAAAAAAGAAGGAGGGGAAATCAGGACTATGATAGATGTTTGATAGGAAAGAGGAGCAAATCACATCATTGCACCCGCCAACCACCCACGGGAAGAGAATGTGTCAACAAGAATCGGTCCTCCTTTCTTGTTTGCTCATGTCGGTAGAAGAGAGAGCCCAGGAACACTACAACAGCACACACACCTGCTGGGCTAGAGAAGGTGAATGTCACAGAACATTTTCCCCAAAAGGGAGAGTTGGGAGGAGAAAAATGAGAGCCATCTAGATGAGTGAAAGACAGTAGCAGACACCCCCCCATACAGTTTTTTTTTAATTTAAAAAAAACCCCAAAGAAAACATCTCCACAACAATAACAATACAGCAAAACATATTTTTGACACAATGCAACTAAATATAACTGTCAGAACCATACATTATGAACACAAAGCTCACGTAAATTTCACACCATTTCGAGATACAACACACAACTGAAACCTTTCCCTTCTGTCTACATTGAACAAAGCTGCCAATCAAGGTACAAAAGATACAGCTTTCTACAGTGTCCTACAAAAACTACAGAATTCTATAGTCCTACCTCTTCTGTCTTAAATGTAAGAAACTGGACGTGGTTCGTTCGTGAAAATGTTTCAACTTCTTTAACTCCTTCAAATGAAGAGCCTGAGAAAATAAAAAGACACAGGAATCAAACACAAAAAAAGACTCAGATTCACATAGAATAATATTTGACAACCAACAAAATAGATATGTAAAATCTTCCTCCAGTCACAAGATGAACTAAGTGACGAATGGAGCACAACAGATTCTTAGTTTCGGTAAGGTTTTACCGCACTCGCAACTGCGTACGGTCATATGAGCGCCAAGGGGTGGACGTCAACAGAGAAATTCAAATGGGGAATCAGGCTTACACTGCTCACCTCTCTAGCCTCAACAGCACAAAGTCTCCTTCAACTATCAAGGCACCCCGAAAATAGTGGGTCACAAGAGAATGACAAACACACAAAAGAAGTAGAGGAAAATGACGATAGTAAGGATGAGGAAAGAAAAAGCAGCAGTTCCCCCTATGTTGTTCTGGCACAGTATGAGCATGACATTGATAAATCAGCCCATTTACAATTCTACCGTGCATAAGAACATGTTAGTATATCCCGCCTTTGGGAACGGCCTAAAGAAGACAACGTCAGTCAATAGCACTGCCCAGAGGAATAAATGAATGATGTAATTGTTTGAACGGGGGGGGGACACAACATACTCTTGCTACAAAAAGGGAGATAAACAGACTATCTTCATCTCAACAAATACTTCACAGAACTAGATATTATTATGCTACTGAAAATGATCTTGTCTAGATACAAACTGAAATGTGCAGTTTCTGACAATCGTCGCGAGAAACTCACGTGTTTGAGGGTACGCCCTAGGGCATCCCCCACGCCCGTCTTTTTACATTTGTCGGCCTTCTCTCCCTTCTCCAACACCGCATCGTTGCTCGTGCTGATGGCTTGCTCCAGGGCAATCTTCGTCTCGCTCGCAAACCGTGACATTGTGTCCAAGATAGTTTCCATCTAAAACACAGAGCAACACTGTAGTCTTTCTAAAACACAGAGCAACATTGTCGTCTTTCTAAAACACAGAACAACATTGTCGTCTTTCTAAAACACAGAGCAACACTGCAGTCTTTCTAAAACACAGAGTAAAGTCAAAAGAAAAATCATTGTTGCTTGTTTAACATTTCATATGCCGTTTGTCAAATTTCATGCTATGAATTAATTAGCAAGCACCTATTCTTCTTTCAGTCTTCCCTTTATAACAAATAACATTTGTACAACACATAACCCCGCTCAACAACAAGCTCTAGGAACTTTATCATCTAGATCAACACCCCAGCAGACGAGCGTCTGATTTCACCACGCTCCCGCACATATGACTTTATCATCTGCATGCGAGCACACACTTTTACAGTGAGATCAGCTGGAAATAGGAGAAGATTTGAAGCAGTGAGCCGACACTTTTACAGTGAGATAAGCTCAAAATAGAACATTTGAAGCAAGCCATGAGCTGACTACCTCTGGCACCAGATAGGCGGCAATGTCTCCCCTCTGAGCCTGTGTCAGGGTCTGTAGGTAGGCCTTGATGGTGGTCAGCAGTTTGAGCAGTTGCTTCAGGAAGATGGGGATCCTGGGGGGAAACAAAGCGGACGTCACTCGCACATACAGGGGGGACCGTTAATGCACATACAGATAGAGAAATTCCTGTACATATTGGTTCTAGATTAGCCTTCTTCAGGAAAAAAGAAAACACAAACTGCAAAGATCAAAAGAAAAATGAAATGGAAAGTGTCAGGCATCTACAGATAACTGGTCAGTTTGAGATTGAGTAAGGAGACAAATTTATGTTACCTCGTATAAAACATTGAACACTAAGACAGAAGAAAATGTTTTTACAGTAACTTGTGTACATAAAACATACAGCAAGCATTAAGAGACAACTATAAACAGGAACAGCTGAATCAAAAACAAAAGTCTCTTTTCATGGATCTGATCACACAACACACAAATCAAAAGAAAAAACCACATTATTTTAAAAAACCCATAGCTTTACCAATATGCCAGTTTATATGTATATATATTATGATTAAAAAAACAACCTGGATAAGGATAATTACCTGGACTTGACGTATTTCATGATTTCGTAGCGTTCCTCTCTCGACAACTCGTACTTGCGCTTGGCGAATAGGTCACACATGATCACCAATTTGACACAGGCTGAAAATAACACAATAAATACAAATGTCAAACACTCTTGTCAGTTTGACACAGGCTGAAAATAACACAATAAATACAAATGTCAAACACTCTTGTCAATTTGACACAAGCTGAAAATAATCAAATAAAAATCAGAAGCAATAAAACTACACGTAGGGTATACAACAGGAGTCCCATCCCAAGCTCAAAAGTACTCTAGACCGACCCCCGAGTAGTCCGTTAATACTGCATGAATTTCTTCATTGACCTTGACTTGAAGGTTGAAAATCTCTGTGCATGTTCAAAGCACCGACAGAAAATCAAAGCACAATTCAAAATACAAACTGATTCCACATTCAAAATATCCTACAAGATACGAAACATTCAACATATCCCAAACGACACATTGAACCTATCCCACACATGCTTTCAGAATAGCCAGACCAATCACTCTGAACAACCGTTACAGAAACAAACCATCAAATACATACAAGAGAAAGCTCAATCTTTAAGCACAATCAAAATAAGGCAATGAATGATTTTACAGCAATTTCGTCAGAATCATAATCGTATTGTGTTTCAAGAAAGCTAGATCCTTGGCAAGCACAGTCTCCTCCCACAGTCTCCTCCCACAGTCTCCTCCCACCAAGCACAGTCTCCTCCCACCAAGCACAGTCTCCTCCCACCAAGCACAGTCTCCTCCCACCAAGCACAGTCTCCTCCCACAGTCTCCTCCCACCAAGCACAGTCTCCTCCCACCAAGCACAGTCTCCTCCCACAGTCTCCTCCCACAGTCTCCTCCCACAGTCTCCTCCCACAGTCTCCTCCCACAGTAAACAGAAACTCAGCAAAAACAGACACAAAAATATGTAAAAACAAATATGGTCTTTTTAAAAAACAAGCGGGCTAACCCAGATCTCGGGGGTTTCTAGAAACCTTGACCTACACCAAAAGTGGGCATTGTCTTACCTATAGGAGAAGTTTGGTTTCATTGGTGTGTATATTTGTTTGGTTATAGAGATAATTTTTCTTGTCTTTTAAAGAAACTGAATAAGGATCTAAAAACTTACCCTTCGATTTTCTCAAAACAGCACTTCTCGGGATAACCCCCTTGAGTTTAAAAGCGACCATATGAACTTCCACCTCACAAGCACATATACGGATATCGACGGCAACAGTCACAGACCATTGACCTGCGACAAACCACTAATGTCGGACACAAACAGTGGGTGGAGTCACCAACCTGTGGCCTCCTCCCTGAGAGCTTGCCGCACGGTGTAGCACAGCCTCGCCGGGTTCACCCAGATGGTCCCGTCCAGAATGACGGGCTCCTGGCTGTTCTCCTCGATGGACCGGCCAAACAGGTCGTTGATGCGGTCAGCGCACGTGTGCATGTCCCCAACCAACGTCTTCATCTCTGGAAACAAAGAAAACCGCACACAATACGCATATCAATCAACAGCAAAACAACACTTTTTTAAAGTTTAGTTTTATTAAGCTTTAACGAGGTTCGCAACTGCAGAAGGTCATATGAACACCAAGGGGTGGATGTCAACAGAGAAGTTCAAACGGGGTATCAGGCTTACTCTGTTCACATCTCTAGCCTCAACAGCACAAAACAACACTTTCATAATAACTATACCTAGCATTTGTATAAGGCATTTTCCCCCTCAGCAAGAAGATCTGATGTCCTAGTAGTAAGACCTCTAAAGCAGTGTCCTCAGGTATTGGAGGACTACATAATCAAAGAGCAAAATAAGAAAAAACAAAACAAAACACACATACAAAAAAATACAAAAGACAAACAATCCTCACCCCCACCACCAACAAAAAAAAAATAAAATAAAATAAAACCCCAAAACAAAAGCAGGCACCACAAGTAACCCCCCACCCCCACCCCTCCGACAACATGGGAGACTTACGCTGAGTGAGCGCTGTGTTCTTCAAGAAGGTCTCACAGAGCTGTCCAAACTTGGCGAACCCCGGCATCTTTCCCATGGCCTTGAGGCAGCGCTGGGCGGTGTCCTCGGTGAGCCCCCGTGGCAGACACTCGGCGTACAGAAAGTGCAGCGTCACACTCAGGACATCCTCCGGTAGACCAGTGAGAGGCGTCACCTGGCCACCCCAGTCCATGTCTGGGGCACTAAGCTTGAGGATCGTAGAGTGGACTTTGAACTGGAAATGAAAAAGACCCATTAAACGATAAATGATCAAAGCATATCACGCTATCAATGGTTCTAGAATGCACTTTGAACTGGAAATGAAAAATAACCATTAAACGAAAAGCAATAAAAGCACATCACACTATCAATGGTTCTAGAATGTACTTTGAACTAAAAACTTAAAAACTCATTAAAAAAATAAATTCAGATTATCCCACTGTCAACAGCTCTAAAAATGTCGAGTTCTCATCAGTCTAACAGCTGGCAATTTGTCCACCAATAGTGATATAATTGACTTTGACATTTGAATTTTAAACAGTCTGTGACAAACATAGAACCCCTGCTGTAACCACCCTGCTCTTGGTTGCTAGAAGCAGGCATGAGATTCACCGGCCGCACACCGAGAACACAGTAACAGATTCACCGGCACTGTGATGAGCACACCGAGAACACAGTAACAGATTCACCGGCACTGAGAACACAGTAACAGATTCACCGGCACTGAGATGAGCACACCGAGAACACAGTGATAGATTCACCGGCACTGAGATGAGCACACCGAGAACACAGTGACAGATTCACCGGCACTGAGATGAGCACACCGAGAACACAGTGACAGATTCACCGGCACTGTGATGAGCACACCGAGAACACAGTAACAGATTCACCGGCACCGAGAACACAGTAACAGATTCACCGGCACTGAGATGAGCACACCGAGAACACAGTGACAGATTCACCGACACTGAGATGAGCACACCGAGAACACAGTAACAGATTCACTGGGGTTGTTGTTTTTATCGATCCAGATTCACTGGGGTTGTTGCTTTTATCGATCCAGATTCACTGGGGTTGTTGTTTTTATCGATCCAGATTCACTGGGGTTGTTGTTTTTATCGATCCAGATTCACTGGGGTTGTTGTTTTTATCGATCCAGATTCACTGGGGTCAAACTGAAGCAACGACAACTCAACCCTGACAGGCAAACTGCTATCTTGCTTATCCACCAAAAGATCACAGTCATTTAACTATTGAGAAGATACTTACAGCCAGTAATATTTTCAAACTCATTAATAACATTTGAGCCATGACTGAAAATGTTCATTTCAAGAGTGCTTTGATGTTATCGAGAAAATACATTTTTTTTAAATATTCCCTGTGGGTGACATTATCCAGAATCACTGTCCTCATGATAAAGGTGAAGAACAACCACAGAGCTGGGAGGGAAAGTTTCAGGTCAATTCTGCGACATACCTCTCGTCCTGAGCTGGCTCGCAGATTGAGGTCGGAGAAGAATCCCTCGTCCAGAGCCCCGAGGAAGGAGTACGGCGACTCTTCTTTCCGTGGTCCTGGTGAGACCTGCACACACACACACACGCACACATTAGATATACACACACACACACACACACATTAGATACACACACACACACATACACACACTAGATACACACACACACATACACACACACACACATACACACGTTAGATACACACACACACACACACACACACGTTAGATATACATAAACACACCCACAGTAAATGTGAGGTGTGCTGACAAAATGAGTTACTTCTCGCAATCCACAAATGGAGATATTGGCCAAAAATCGACACTTGGGTTAAATTTGAAGATTTTGTATTGATGCCACATTTTTTAACTATAACCTGTCTTTTATTGTTTCATACTTATAACTTGTAAAAACTTCACCTACAAGCGTGATGTATTCTATTTCCATAGGGTTCGAATCCGAGAAGTATCTCATTTTGTCAGCACACTTCACAAATATATATACGTGAAGGGGCAAAGAAAAAACAAGGTATGTAGCTTTTTGACATTTTCATAAAAACAACGATCAATGATGAAGCGCTTGACAATCAACACTTTTCCATGGCGTAGCTTATTTTCCCAGCGATAAAGAAGAGCTACTCCCCAGAGTTTAGCACTGGACACATAGATGACACACAAGCGGTGGGTTAGCAAAAAAGTCAGACAGAAACAGAAATCTCATGTCTTTCCCTGGCACCTCTTATTTGTAGAATTCAAGATAACTTGCTATATATCAACTTCATTCACAAAAGCAACTACCCCAAAAAAAAGAAGTCTATTCCTTTATCAAACTGATCAAATGTCAAATTAAAGCATACAGCAGCAAACACATTTCATTCTTCATCTTGCTTTTCAACTTGCTGATAACACATCCACACAGAAATGCTAACAAGAACAATATAAACTACCATTATGCAATTGAAACACGACTTCCACCCTCTTTCTCTCTTAGACTGACCTTGAACGTCAAAAACAGCATTATAGAGCTGCTTCGCACCGCTAGCTCATAAAAAGGTTTTGACCATGACATAAAACAACCCAGCAATACAAAGCAGAATTCCGTCATGTAATGTGTTAACTTTCGTTACCTTCTGACATTGCAGCATGCAGCATTTTTCATATGTGAGCAGCATGAGGTCATCCGATATGTCCACCTGGAGAGAAATCAGGAGACAATTACGACATGTTCACACCAACGTGACCTTTACTCCCAGACAGAAACAAATATCTCACAAAGAGAAAGTCTGAACAGACAAACCAACGTGACCTTTACTCCCAGACAGAAACAAATATCTCACAAAGAGAAAGTCTGAACAGACAAACCAACGTGACCTTTACTCCCAGACAGAAACAAATATCTCACAAAGAGAAAGTCTGAACAGACAAACCAACGTGACCTTTACTCCCAGACAGAAACAAATATCTCACAAAGAGAAAGTCTGAACAGACAAACCAACGTGACCTTTACTCCCAGACAGAAACAAATATCTCACAAAGAGAAAGTCTGAACAGACAAACCAACGTGACCTTTACTCCCAGACAGAAACAAATATCTCACAAAGAGAAAGTCTGAACAGACAAACCAACGTGACCTTTACTCCCAGACAGAAACAAATATCTCACAAAGAGAAAGTCTGAACAGACAAAGTCAGTTACCAAAAAAGATGGTCGTCTATTGAGGACAACATATTTCCTTCAACTATTTTTTTTTGTGAAGTATTTTACGGCGCTCGCAACTGCATAAGGTCAAATGAGTGCGCAAGACACATTAAAAATTTTCACATTTTCAATTGGTAGGAAATTTTGAATTTTGCCCGTGTCTTGTACAAGGTCCCCTTAAAAAGTACCAGAAACTGGCTTTTACAAGAACATAATATGAGTACACGAGTGACCCAGATAACAGATTCAACAGTGTGTAACTCAAGAAAATCTGCTGAAAAAGTAATTCCCAACCAACATCTGAATGTCAGAAGAACATATTTTGAGTGAGCCCCTACTGCTAAATTCTTAACTCTGCAAGACACAGTGGGTGGTGGTGGGTGTGACTGGGCTTTCACAGAGTCAAAAACAAAGCACTGTAGAAACAGACAGAACTTCCTAAGCTTAAGCCTACCTTAAATTCCACGACATGGCCCGCGTATGTGCCGATGAACTTCAGTAAACCCGGCTCTGTACCTGCGGGGGGGCACACCTGTTAGGGAAATTTGCACACAACAAAAAGTTTAAAAACTGAGACGTTGGTACGGAAAGAAAGAGAGTACAGCTTACGAGACAGAGGTACAAGATGTTTGCAGTTTGTTGGAAAAATTAGTACAGTACTTTACAGAATAATAAACATGTACATGAACAGGGCAAAAAAACCCCAAAAAAAAAAAAGTATATTAAAGAAGCTGAATTATCAAGTTTATGTAAGGCATAAAAGTTAAGAAATAGAATAAGGCCATATTTATAAACATTTAACATGCCTTTTCACATTTGAAACCTGAAGGTAGAACTAGTCAAGTGCCATAACAAAGTGAAAAATCAGAAGCCCTTCTAGATAACATCATAATGGGCAAGAGAAGGAATTTAAAACGAGAAGATGCTGCTGGCGATAAGGCAGGGCTGAAACTAAATGCTTAAATACTGCAGGATAAACAAGTCAAAGGATAAACAAGTCAAAGCATCCAGCAGATTATAAAATTGAATGGATCTGCTCCTCTTTAATGAAAAGAAACCAACAATACACACCTCATAAGTTTCACAATTGAAAAAGGGAAGCGGCTCTGCTGCATCAGGCACTTGCCAAGAAACATCTCCATTTTCATCAAGAACAAATTCAGTCCTGAGAAAAAAAAATTACATTTGAATGAAGTCAAAGGTTGTGGTGACCTTACCGATGATCTACTTGTCAAAAGAATTCTCAAAGACAGCTAAACATGTTCACACAGCATCAAACGTCATCCCTACACTACTTGAATGACTCTCAAACAAGAAAAGTAAAAAGTTAAGAGTATAATGAACAAGGAAGATCATCACGGAAAGTTCTGTCAAAATCCATGCCACTCACACTGACAGCAAAGATCATTATAATTTTAACTTGACTTTCAACTTTCAACATATCAATCAATCATGATTTCAAATAGAATAAGTTTCCAATTTTGAAATAATGCACACAACTCTTGGTGTCTTTTATTTGAACGAAGGCTTTAAGGAAACCCCCAGAAATTAATTTGGTTGATTTTTTTATATATTTTAGCTCATAAAACATCCCCAAATTCAATCAGTTCACTTTCAAATAGCCACTTTGCTTTGGTAAAAATGCTCAAATCAATTCTGTAACTAATGGGACAAAGCTCCTTCTTGTATATACAGACATTCAACAACAAAACACAATACACACATACACTCTTCTATGCCTGTGATTTCAACAACACAACACAATACACACATACACTCTTCTATGCATCCCCAAATTCAATCAGTTCACTTTCAAATAGCCACTTTGCTTTGGTAAAAATGCTCAAATCAATTCTGTAACTAATGGGACAAAGCTCCTTCTTGTATATACAGACATTCAACAACACAACACAATACACACATACACTCTTCTATGCCTGTGATTTCAACAACACAACACAATACACACATACACCCTTCTATGCCTGTGATTTCCACACAACACAACACAATACACCTACCCTTCTATGCCTGTGATTTCCACACAACACAACACAAAACACATACCCTTCTATGCACAACACAACACAACACACATACCCTTCTATGCCTGTGATTTCCACAACTCCTGCCACAGACACACATTCCACAATCTGAAATCAAAGACAACAAAACATTTCATGGTACAAGACACTTTCATAACAATGAAACTTTCCAATAAGATACAATAATTGATAGAAGGCCTAGAGCTCTCCTCTATTCATTTCTTCATTCAAAACATTCTTATAATCTGATCTAATTCCACAAAAACTATAAATAACTGAAGTTGAAGCGAGCAAGGACAGACGGGTAATTATGAGCTCTCCCTCAATCCCTGCCGATGGGACTTAGCCCAATGATGTTGCTATACATAAATAAATTTATCAAAATGTTATATTATATTGTGCGTGCCAAAGTTGTACTATAACATTTCACTCGGTAAAATGAAAGATTAGCAGACCACCTGCCAGTAATACTTTTTTGAGAGCTAAAAACTGTTGCAAACTAGGCCTAGCCCTAACTAGATCTAGATCTACTAGATCTAGATTCTGATGTAGGCCTAGAATCTAGATCTACATCTAGATCAGATCTAGTTCTATATTATTTTGCCACTGTGTATATATGCGTACGGCCCTCCCGCACACATAGCTTTCGTACGGCCCTCCCTCCTGTACGCATAGCCTCGAGGCTATATCTATGCGTACGGCCCTCCCTCCTGTACGCATAGCCTCGAGGCTATATCTATGCGTACGGCCCTCCCTCCTGTACCAATAGCCTCGAGGCTATATCTATGCATACGGCCCTCCCTACGTACGGCTCTTAGATTTAGATAGAAGTATGCTCACGGCCTTGATGATCGCTCAGCTGAACCGTGTCACTTTATCGATCGATATCTTGGCCAAGACAAAGATCGTGTATAGTATAAAACTTACTTATATACTATAGATCTAGTACTAGATCTATAGTATAAAGATCGCAGTGGCTATTTTTACGGCGAGCTGTAAAGATAGCCTCCTAGGCTATTTTTACGGCGTGCCGTAAAGATAGCCTCCCAGTGAGTCCCAGGCTATTTTTACGGCGATCCTCGAAAAGCGACCCTACTCCGCCTCTCATGTACGCGACATGCCTCAATGTATTACTACTATTAGATCTAGGCCTCTAGTAGGGTGCAAAATATAAACTTACACCTCAGAGGGGAAAGGGTGTCTTTGGCTTCATAATTATAGTCTTTATTCTGGACTTTTAAACAATTCAATGTTTTTATGTTCTTTACTAGGACCTTGTTGTTGTGGGATTCTTTCAAATAATAAAACAGATTGCACTTTTTAAGTTTTTATTTTTTGTTTTCTGATGTGCTCATACAATACATATTACTGTCCATTTTTAAGGGGAACAGCTCACCCCAAGGGTGATTCTTTTTCCGATTCATATTTAGGAAAAAAAATTATACGGGCATAAGAAATAATGAAGAAAGTAAATTTTGATAAATACGAAAATATGAAAGTTGCCATGGAATGGAAACAGCACCAACATGCAAAACAAACAATTATTTTTAAAAACCGAAGGCTTCTACTCTCTAACAAAATTGCATGAAAATTGGTGGAATAGTAGATACAGATACTATGGTCAATCGTACTGAGCAAAATTTTGATATTTAAATGAAAAAAAATAAAAATATATGTGTTCCTGTACCCTGAAATTGCATCACAATAATTAATAAATTAATCACTGTGAACAACAACAAAAATATTTTACACCTCTCAAAAATCTGCTCAGTGCAAAGGAAGGAGGAACATTTTATATAGGCATTCCCAAGGCGAAAAGTGTTAACTCCAAAATGGCCGCTCTTCTTGTGGGTGTCGTAGTCGTACATAATGTAGTGATGTCTGTGAATGAGATGATGATGCTGGCAGTGGCAGTGGTGATGGTAATGATAATGACGAGGAGGTGATGGTGGTGGTGATGATAAAGAGAGGGTGAATGATGATGGTGGGGAGAAGAAGGAAGAGGTGGTGGTGGAGGAAGGGAGAAGGAAGATGAAGAAGAGAATAGAATGGCGGTGAAGAGGAAGAAATGGAAAACCTATGAGGCTGTTCAAATATAATCTTACACTTTTGGGGACGTTTTTAAAACACAAAACCCAAATACCACTTTTCTCACATTTGCCTCCAACCCCCATCCACACCAATTTAATTAGTACTTTTTCCTATCTTCAACTTCCATTATTATTTTAAAGATACCTGTACTATACGTGGCTTTTTTTAACCAGCTTGTAAAAAAAATATCATTTCAGTTAATACAATTTAATCAAACCATATGAACTAGAAAGAACGCATAAATATGGAAGACATTGAGACTCTTGTCAATGCAATAGGTTCGTGCCTTACAAATAAAAGACATCAAGACATTAAAAGATCAACAAAACAGTTGCAAAGTTACAAAGAAACATTAAGAAATTAGATATCCACCGACAAAATATTCATCATAATTTCAAAATTATTTGTAACCCCCCCCCCCCCCCCTTTCCTCTAAAAAAAACTACAAAAAAACAACAACAACGGGGATCTGCAGTGATCATGCAGATCTGGGTCTTGTTACTGGCATTTATCCACTTTTTCTTTTACCTTTTCTTCCCAGTCATGAGCAAAATGTTCATCTCACAGAAGTGTCATAATATTTGGTTAACCTCCCCACCCAATCTTACACTTTTCTTACAGAAGCCAAAGACACCCTTTCCCCTCTAAGGTGTAAGTTTATATTTTGAACGGCTCCTACTATAGGCCTAGATCTAATACATTGAGTTTGAGGCATGTCGCGTACATGAGAGGCGGAGTAGGGTCGCTTTTCGAGGATCGCCGTAAAAATAGCCTGGGACTCACTGGGAGGCTATCTTTACGGCACGCCGTAAAAATAGCCTGGGAGGCTATCTTTACGGCTCGCCGTAAAAATAGCCACTGCGTATAAAGATAGATCTAAAATCTAGATCTAGATTCTAGATCTAGATATATTATAATATAGATCTAGAAATCTAGATCTAGTCCACTCGTCACTCCACTAATTAATTGAGCCAATGAAAAAAGGGATGCGGACTGTCTGCACCCCCAACCCCTTCCTACTGGAGTAGATGTAGATCTAGTGGTGGTCTGCTAATGTTCAAAGAGGCCGTTATTCTAGTAAAAAAAGTGACTCAGTTACTGATCACAGATCTGTGAGATCTGTCTCTGACTACGACACGACGACAACGGGTTGGGCCTCGCTATAATAGATCAGCTGTTTCGTAGCAGTTGGTCGAACTTATTGACACCTTCACAAAGTTAATAAATTGCAAATAAAGGAACTCAGAAGTATACAATAGAAGTAAACAATAAATAAGCCTACCTTCCAAGTCCCATGATATGCTACTTCCTCAACACCAGCCATGTTGATGTTTACTAAATTCACGCAGGCGCACTGGTGACTAATCGGGGGATTTCCTCTTTACTACTGCCAAGAAGACTTATTTGGGTCACAACGAAAACATTTTACATATCAAGTTGACACAAAACCAGATCTTCTTCTAAACAAAATTGTATTTCATATAAGAATTGAATACATAATTTTGTGCTTTTGCAAAATGAATAAGCGCTTAAGGTCTAATATTGTCCAATACGCTGTACGATCTTAGGCCAAAGCAGAGATTATAAAAAGATTACCGCTTTGGCCTTAGTTCCAGGTATCTGGCCACTCGGTGACGGCAAGAGATAGGCTAGATCAAATTCATTCGACAAAAGAGTTCTGTTTTCTTCAACAGCGCGGATTTGAAATGGCGACTTCATGCAAAAACAGTATTACTTTGAGAGGTTCCACTGAAATTGTGACAGAATTTTTCCGTAAGTTTCATGTTTCTCAACAACAGTTAAAAAGAACATTCATTTTCTATTTTTTAGTCCAAAATAGAGTATTGGAGATAGATCTAGTCTATTTAATGCATCCAGACGCATCCAAGATCTCAAGATCAATAGCACTAGACTCTAGACTTCTAGATAGATCTACTGCTCAACTACTCATACTGCACTGCACACAGTGACAGTAGGCCACTGTACAGACAGTACAGTAACTAGAATCTAGTCTAGAACATTAATGATTAGTAGATATGAGAGTTAGTCTCTCCAGTTGATCTAGATCTAGATTTCTAGATCTAAATCACTTAGTTGACTTAGTTCTAGAATCTAGATCTAGATTCTATATATATATATATTTATATATCTCTAGATTCTCTACACTACCCATTCATTTGATTCCGTCGTTGGGGAAATTTTGTGGTCGGGGGAAAGGTGTTTCAGTTTGCAATTTCAATCTAGAATCTAGGTCTAGATCTAGATATATCTAGGCCCCTACAGCCTACATACGTAGTCTAAACAGCCGTATGCACTGCTCACCGTCGAATGCTCCGTATCCCGGACTCCAGCATGGAGATCATCAGGAGAGAATGCGTCGCTGTTTCGGGCTCTTCCTCTCTACAGCTTTTCTGACGCACCGAGCCCCCTCACCGATGTGAGGTCTCCATGTTAGTTCGACTGTTTTCCTCTGCTGCCAACTTTAGGATTCATTCCAGCTTGAGTCCTCTCGCTTCAACCAGATCCAATGACTGGCTTTCTCTGCTGTCTCCTGAAGGGAGTTTGTGAGTTCGTTGCTTTTCTTTGCAGTAAGCCCTGCCACTCTCATCCACTTACGGGCGCTTGTTGCTACAAAACCTCTGCATCCTACCTCTACCGGAAAATGGGTTGCCTTCCATCCTGCCTCCTCACATTGTTCGACGAGTGCCTCGTAACGGTTTTCTTTCCGCTCATGAGCGGCATAGATATTGTCCTCGTGGGGCACCGTGAGCTCTACCAAGTGTACCTCTTTGTCTTTTTCCTCCCATAACACAATGTCTGGCTTTTTCGTAGTTGGAATGGGGAAGAATCTCTCAAAGCCTTTTAAGTCAGCAGCTACTTCCCATGTGCCTCCGCTCTGGTCTTTCATGGCTTCGTTCGCTTTCTTTCTTTTGGCAACCTTGCTTCCTTGCGGAACGAACGCAATCTTGGTGGGTACATGCTTCTGTATCTTGGGGGCATATTTTCCTTCTTCCACCTGTTGTGTCGCCATTTTCGTGAGCACTTTCAACACCTCGTTGTGTCTCCAGGTGTATCTGTTAAGAGCTAGGTTGCAGTTTGACAAAATATGCTTCATGGTTCCTAGCTTACTGCATCTACACTTGTTGTCCTCCTGTACCTTCCATCTGACAAGGTTCACCGGTGAAGGCAGAACATCATACGTAGACCGGAGAAGAAAGCTCAGCCTTGATGTATTCCACTTCCAGATGTCACTCCACCCGACTTTTCTTTCCACTACATGCTCTTCCCATCTGGTCATTTGTCCTTGCTGGCTACACTGGATGAGATGAATTTCTCGCCTCTCTGCCTCCATCTTTTGCATATGTCTTGTTGCAGCTTTTCTTCTGTCTCGCTGAGACATTTTCCTGAAAGGTCTAAAGTCGCCATTACCTAGCCCTAATCTGTCAGGTTGCGCTGGACCGACAATGTCCCCATGCTCCAATGCAGAGATGATCTCGTCAGCTGCAACTTCTGCCTTCCACTTTCTGGCTGTTTTGACATCTGGAGGTTTTCCACTGATCTCCTTATCCCTTGATTCTCTCAACATCAAAACGGTTCTAATCTTGCCTGCTTTGTAGATCTCCACAATTGACGTGAGAGGTAGTTGAAGCGCACCTCTATGTCTGTACAGGGATGACGTGTTAATGGTACGGGGTAGCCCCAGCCACTTCCTGATGTAGCTGTTACACTTTCTTTCGATCATCTCAACTCTTGACAAAGCAACTTCATACATTGTCAGTGGCCACGCCAATCGAGGGTAGAGGGCAAACTGTAGACACCATATCTTGTGCTTTCCTGGAAGCTTTGTCTGGTCAATTGCTTTCAGCCCATTTTCAGCCTGCTTCATGATTTCCACGCCTTGACTCCTATCAGACAGAGTTCCTGAGTACCACCGACCCAAACTTTTCACGGGTTGTTCTTTTACTGTGGGCATTTGCTCCCCTGCAATTGTGAACTTCAGTTGCTTCTGTTTTCCTTTGTTAATAGTCAGGCTTCTAGACTTTTTAGCTTTAAACTTCATCCTCGCCCAGGTGATAAGCTTATCGAGCCGATTCAACACACTTTGCATTGTGTCTCCATCTGTTGTCAGTAGGGTCACATCATCCATAAAGGCTTTCTTTGGTGATCTCACCTTTGCTTCTTCTTCACAGCATTCTGCAGATCTCAGTAGCATCTCCATTACCAGGATGAACCAGATGACCAATATAGAGCAGCCAGCTGCAATCCCAATCTCTAGTCGGTGCCATTCCATTGTGAAATTTGCGGTTGAGAATCGCATCTGGAAGTTACTATAGTATTCTCTCATAATGTTTTGCACCTCTTGTGGGACGTAGTAAAAATCCATTGCCTTCATCAGCAATTTATGGGGAACAGACCCGTAGGCATTCGCCAGATCCAACCACACTACGTTTAAACTTTCCTTGTTTTTCTTGGCCTCTTGGATTGTGTCCCAAATGGTGAAAGCATGCTCGATGCAGCCTGGGATCCCTGGTACCCCGGCTTTCTGTACCGTTTCATCCACATAGCCGTTACTTTGCAAATATGCTACAGTCCTCTTTGCAAGTATTCCCATAAAGATCTTGCACGTCACGTTGATGATTGAAATAGGTCTGAACTGTCCTATCTCCTTTGCATTCTGTTCTTTGGGTAGATACACGCCCTCCGCTCTGCACCAATCTTTGACGATTTCTTTGTCTTTCCAAAGGCCTCTTAGCATCTCAAAGAGGGTGTGTCTCAGCGTGTCGCAATACTTGAACACCTTATAAGACACGCCATCTCCTCCAGGTGCACTTTTTGCTCTTGCTTTTTTTACGAACTCATCTACTTCTTTCTCTCTATTGGTCCCAGGTAATATTTGACGACGGGGACAGCTGGACGCTTCAGGCCTCTCATATAAGGAAGCGGTTCTTCTCTTCTTGAATCGCTGTACGTCTGCTTAACATAAGCATCGAGTTCCTCTTTCGTATTCCAATTTACCACTCCGTGCCTCTGTGAACAGTTTTTTGGCTGCTTCATAAGGATTCTTCAGAAATTGTTCACGTTCCCTTTTTCTCTCTTTTCTCCTGGTACACCTTCTTTCGTGCCTCTGTAGGTCTCTGCTCTTTTTCTTAAGATCTTCAAACAAGATTCTTAGGCCTTCTATCTCTTCTGGTGGTGCGTACTTTTTCTGCTTTTGCAAGTCTCGTTTCTGTTTTCTTAGCTGTGCAAGTACTCTCTGCCTTCTACTCAATCCACTTTTCTTCTCCGTCTTTTTCTTTCCTTCACAAATACCAAACTCTTTTATTGCTGAGTCATAGATAATGGTCGCAAACGCACTCAATATTTCTTTAGCATCCCCTCTGTTAGAACTCTTTTTGACTTCTTTCAATTTCTTCTGGACTTCTTCTTCTAACGTCTTGTATTTTGCCTTCTCGTTAGCAGCAGGCCACAGTATTCTGGGTTTCCGTAACCCTGGTTCCGTTTGCTGTTCCATCTCTTGCTGAGACAGGGTGAAAGGAGAGTCGACTGAAGCACTAATCGCTCCGCTGTGGTTTTCATCCTGGGATGATTTGCTTCGCGTCTTACAATCTGACGATCTGCACTGTCTTCTCTTCTTTAAACAGACTTTTCCCTGGTCATGTAGATCTAGATCTATCCAGATCTAGATCTATATATAGATTATATATATATATATATATATTATATCATGTTGAAACACTCAGGAAATTTATTTTTATACAAACTAAAACGAAGTGGCTAGCCATACTTAAGTACGGCTAGAGGTTTGGCCCTATCGACTCAAGCCTGTTAAGTACACAGGTCTCATTTGATCTTGATCTAGTAATTATCCAGGTTCAAATACATGCAAGTCAGTAAGGCACCTTTTGGTTTTGTCTGAAATACAAATGAAAGTGGCTATTCTCACCCGCCCGGAAGTTCTCGCAAGATCAACTGCTCCCCTCTTCTTTCTCTCTCTGTCTCTTTCTGAATACTGTCTATCGGTGTGGACGATCAAATTGACCAAAACAAAGTTAAAAAATGATGTTAAAACACACAAGTAAATTAATTTGGTTGTCTACAAAGATGCTACGGCTATTTAACTTTTCGAATGGAGCCGAACTACGCGGGTCGCCATTTTGTTTTGTTCGGAAATTCTCGCGCTACTCCTCTCTCTCTTTCTCTCTCTCTCTCCACTGCCCACAGACAAAATTGTACGCTTTTAGTAGGCTACAGTTGTAATGGAACGTTTGTTCACGGCACAGAATTCTACAATTTTTCCTCACAGTGTAGAATTCTTTGGTTTAGGGTGAACGCGCACCGGGTGAGAATAGACACAAGACTCGCCTGCACTATTCTCACTCCGGGTGAGAATAGAGGTGGCCAATACAAATACTTTAGGCATTGCAAACTAAAAATTGAATTTACAATTCAGCCATCAATATTAAGTACGGCTAGCCTGACAGTCTAGCCGTCCTCTTAAGTACGGCTAGCCTGACTGTCTACCCGTACTTAAGTACGACTAGACTGCCACTCTAGCCGTACTTATCTTAGGCCCTATTAACATTAGAAAACAGGAGGTTTAAAATACATGCACTGTCATTTTAAAAAGGCACCTGGTTTGTCTCAAATACAAATACTTTAGGTACTGCACACTAAAAATGTATATTTACAATTCAGTAGGCCTATTTTTTGTAAATAGTCAGTCTAGCCATCATATTAAGAATAAGTACGGCTAGACTGCGAGTCTAGCCGTCCCCCTCTTCCAAACTAAAATTTCCGGCTCCCCACCTTGTCCACCCTAACTCAGTGTAATCCCTTCCCTCCTCCACAGATTATGGTCTGCACAGCATCCTGTATCAGCGAGGCTTGTACCCGCCGGAGACGTTCGCCCACACCCAGCAGTGGGGGCTCACTATGCTGGTGTCATGTGACAAAGATCTTCAGACATTTCTTGGCAATATCTTGTGTCAAGTGAAAAGTAATGTACCACAATGAAGTTTTCGTAGAAGTTATAAATAAACGATATGTCTCCTTGATTCAACTTGACCATTTCTGTTGTTACATTTAGATCTAATAGCCTAACACTAACAGTTATTTTGATTTTTTTTTGGGGGGTGGGGTGGGGTTGTCATAAATTGGTTTGAGAAGAATTATTTTATAGTTATTAATGATGCATTTTAAAATTTAAAAATTGTGTTGTTTGGTAGAGAAGTCACACAAATAAAGTACGAAGTGGCTTAAGTACGGCTAGACTGAGAGTCTAGCCGTACTTAGATCTAGGTTTGGCCCAATCGACTCAATCCTGTTAAGTACACAGGTCTCATGAGATCTAGATCTAGCAATTATTCAGGTTCAAATACATGCAAGTCAGTAAGGCACCTTTTGGTTTTGCCTGAAATACAAATACTTTAGGCATTGCAAACTAAAATTTTCATTTACAATTCAGCCATCAATATTAAGTACGGCTAGACTGACAGTCTAGCCGTCCTTAAGTACGGCTAGCCTGGCTGTCTACCCGTACTTAAGTACGGCTAGACAAGAAGTCTAGCCGTACTTAAGTACGGCTAGACTGCCGCCAGTCTAGCCGTACTTATCTTAGGCCCTATTTACATTAGAAAACAGGAGGTTTAAAATACATGCACTGTCATTAAGGAACCTGGTTTTGTCTCAAATACAAATACTTTAGGTACTGCACACTAAAAATGTATATTTACAATTCAGTAGGCCTATTTTTTGTAAATGGTCAGTCTAGCCATCATATTAAGAATAAGTACGGCTAGACTGTAAGTCTAGTACGGCTAGACTGTGAGTCTAGCCGTACTTAAGTACGGCTAGACTGCCAGTCTAGCCGTCATTAAGTATGGCTAGCCTCTTCCAATAAAGTAAGACATTGAAAAGGAATGTAGGCCCATGTGTGTGTGTGTGTGCATGCAGTTATTGATCTGTGTGTGTGATTATGAGTGATAGAAAGAGACAAATTGTGTTCTCTCTTTGCTGGTGTGTGCTACTGCTAGCCTCTTCTCAGTTCGAGATTCAAGGTGAACTTTGCCATCCTGACCTATTTTAAAGACATCTCATCTGCAAGCATTTTTTTTGGTATCTTATGACACACCTAGTGATTCACATATCATGAGTAGGATTCAAAATCAGCTTTCAAATGCGATCATTTTCTGTCTTGTATCACCCCAAGAGAAATATCTTTTTGTTTCCTCTAAGTCTAAGGATCATCTAGTCGACTGACGCGCATCGGGCTTTTCACCTGTATCAGCTGCTGTAGTTTTTTTTGTCACTATGGATGGGAACAGATTTGGAAGGAATTTCTGTCAATGTAAAATGTGCTGGACATAGGTTGTAGGTGGGCAGCCTTCCTCCCACCGTCTTTCTTTGTTTATTTGTTTGTGTCACTCCCTCCTGCCCATCTCTCTGTTGGTAAAGATCCCAATACAGTGGAACTTGGATTCAAAAAGGTTGCCAGGCCTGACATAAAATCTCATTGAATCAGAGTGTTCGTTTATAGCAAACAAGAGATTTTGTGTATAGATAATTACAGGCACTGGAGCAGATAATGTACAAAGGGAGCGGAAGTAACAAGTGGTGCCTGAAATACGTAGATCAACGTCAAGACTAGCTTATTGTACAGTATGATCATTTGCCGGGAGGTTGGGGGGGGACTGAAGCATTTGTATGCGACATTCCACGCTCAGACCAATGGTGTGCGCGCACTCCCTGACACACGTGCACAGTCACACATGTGCAAAGCGCCCCTCTGACCCCAACACTCGTTAGAGTTGTCACGTTTGCGTGCTAACAACGTGCATGTTGGTATGAAAGAAGGCCGCTGGTTGGTCGCATGCAATCGAAGTGAATATAGTAATAGTTCACAATGCAGGTGCAATGGATGGTTTCCGGGAATAGATAAAGTTTGTAGTGGGAGAAAAATAGCGAAGCCACATCTGCGGGGGCTGTTCACCCTGGAAGCGACTTAGTTCAATTTGAGCTTGTTTATTTCAGTGTTCATTTGAATCCGGGTTATTTTTATTGATTTTAAAGAAGGGAAAAAAACGGAATTCATCCACTTTCATTGAATCTGAGTTTTTGTTAAATCTGAGTTCCACTGTATTTATTTCTTTTGCTCTAATCTATCTGTGGTGTTTATAAGAATATTATTTTAAAATGTATTTGTTTCTTTAATCTCCAGCCTGGCTGACTGACATGACCGTGGAGAAGTTAGTTCTGGTTGTAAAGGAAGTAGGCACAAATAATGTCGTCGAGCGCTGGCAGTTTGATGTCGAGTGTGATAGGACGGTCACTAAGGATACGTAAGTGTTGACGTATTCCTTGTCTTGTTGTCTCTTCCTATCTCACTTTGTTGTTGTTCTTGTATCATGGCTGAATGGTGTAGACGTATTTTCCTATCAAACATATATCGTCCTGATCTCCCCTCCTTTTTTATGTTTGTTACTCTCTTGTAACACCTCTAATCTTCTGGCGCTCTTATGACCTTACGCAGTTGTTAGCGCCGTAAATCCTCTACAAAAACTTATCTTGTTGTCTCTTCCTATTTCACCGTGTTATTGTTGTATCAGGACTGAGCGGGTCCAGATTGAACTCAAAGGTCACATCATGTCATGTGTACATCACACCATGTGTACATCACATCATGTGTACATCACACCATGTGTACATCACACCATGTGTACATCACACCATGTGTATACATCAGTACATCACACCATGTGTACATCAGTACATCACACCATGTGTACATGTGTACATCACACCATGTGTACATGTGTACATCACACCATGTGTACATCACACCATGTGTACATCAGTACATCACACCATGTGTCCATCACATCATGTGCACATCACACCATGTGTACATCAGTACATCACACCATGTGTACATCAGTACATCACACCATGTGTACATCAGTACATCACATCATGTGTACATCAGTACATCACACCATGTGTACATCACATCGTGTGTGAGGAGGAAATATGAATTGATGGAAAAATACAAGTTTAGTCTTGTTTTGTTTTCTCAACAGCCATGAATGAGTGCTGCCTGTTTCTTTTTGGAAAAATCACTTTGAGAGGGCCAAGTCCTCTCCTTGTATTTCTCTTTCTGTAATTACCTTATTTGTTGTAATTGTTAATCCTTATTCTTATTCCACTATAGCAGAAAGTTCCGTAAATATGTCATCTCCTTTTGTTCTCTCCAGCAAACGAGAGGTCAAAGACAAAGACATTCAAGATGGGATACGTGCCGTGATACGACAAATTACTGCCTCTGTCACTTTCCTACCTTTGCTGGAGACTCCGTGTAAGTTTTCTCAATCTTTTCCCAGCCTTTGATGAATTCTAATGAGATGATTGTCTCATGATGTTGTTCAGGGCTATAGGTGTTCACTGTGTGGGGGAAAGATTCTGTTTCATCAATGTCATGCTCATACTGTGCCGGAACAACATAAGGGGAACTTCTGCTTTTTCTTTCCTCATCCTTACTATCGTCATTTTTCCTCTACTTCTTTTGTATGTTTGTCACACTCTTGTGACCCACTCTTTCCAGGGTGCCTTGATAGTCAAAGCAGACTTTGTGCTTTTGAATTTGAAGCTAGAGAGGTGAGCAGAGTAAGCCCGATTCCCCGTTTGGACTTCTCCGTTGACATCCTACCCTTGACGCTCATATGACCTTATGCAGTTGCGAGCGCCGTAAAACCTCTACTGAAAAAAGAAGAATGGTATTTGGACAGGTGGCAGTATGAGCAGGTTCCACTGCAGTATCTCTGAACAAGACAGGTGGTGGAAAGAGCATGTTCCACTGTAGTATCTCTGAACAAGACAGGTGGTGGAAAGAGCATGTTCCACTGTAGTATCTCTGAACAAGACAGGTGGTGGAAAGAGCATGTTCCACTGCAGTATCTCTGAACAAGACAGGTGGAAAGAGCATGTTCCACTGTAGTATCTCTGAACAAGACAGGTGGTGGAAAGAGCATGTTCCACTAGTATCTCGGAACAAGACAGGTGGCGGTAAGATCGGAACAAGACAGATACATAATTCTCTGAGTGCGTGTTTTGTTTTTCGCCCAGGTTGTTTCGACATCTTGGTGTACACGGACAAGGACCTGGAAGTGCCGGAGGAGTGGGGGGAGACGGGGCCGCACCTCATCTACAACTCGGAGGAAGTGAAGCTCAAGTCGTTCTGCACCTCCGTGCACAAGGTCAACACGGCCGTAGCCTTCAAGAAACACTGACGGAGACGGCGTTGTGGGTCCCTGGCGGGTGCTCTCTCTGCTGTGGTTTGCTCCTTCTTTCCTCTATCAAACATCTATCGTCTTTATTTATCTCCCCTCCTTCTTTTTTATGTTTGTTACTCTCTTGTAACACCTCTAATCTTCGGCACTTATATGGCCTAGTTGTGTTCCGAGTGCCGTAAAACTCATACTGAAACAAAAGTTTTGTTGCTCCGCATTGTGTTCACTGAGGGTTTTTTATTGTTGGTGTGTCCGGCCGGGTATGTCCGGAATCTTGTGCCTTGACCGCCGTGGCCTGGAGCAGAGGAGAGAGAGTTTCTACAAGACAGACTCGCCGCTGTGTCGTGTGTGCTGGATATATGTGCTGACAATGTTCTTCATATTTCTCCACTGACGACTTGCTCTGTTGGTGAAGATCATGTTGTTTCGGTGCTACTTTTGAGCCGTACAGTTTGGGAAGGCAGCATGCTTCACCGTACATTACATTTCTTGTTTTGTTTGGGGCTTTTATGTGTTTGTTTGTTGTGGTTTCCCCCCCTGTAAATTGCTCTATAATACGTCTTATCGACACATCTTTGGAAACAAGTCTAGATCAATGATAAAGAGAAGCCTTAAAAAGTTGTCGATTCTGGTCTCATCCTCTTACAGTCGGAGAGGGCAATGCAAGCAGTTAGGTGTCATTGTTAGCTCATTTTTCTGTCCGGTCTGTTCTGTCTATCTGTCACTTTTGCTCCTTCTTTCCTATCAAACATCTATTGTCTTTATCTCCTCTCCTCCTTTTTTGTGTTTGTTACTCTCTTGTAACACCTCTAATCTTCCGCATTTATATGACCTTATTGTGTTGCAAGTGCTGTAAAACACTTACTAAAACTAAAACTGTATGTCCCTTTGCCATCTGTTCTGTCTGTCTGTCTGTCCTTTTGCCATCTGGTCTGTCTGTCTGTCCTTTTGCCATCTGGTCTGTCTGTCTGTCTGTCCTTTTGCCATCTGGTCTGTCTGTCTGTCTGTCCCTTTGCCATCTGGTCTGTCTGTCACTGCCATCTGGTCTGTCTGTCTGTCTGTCCCTTTGCCATCTGGTCTGTCTGTCACTGCCATCTGGTCTGTCTGTCTGTCTGTCACTTTGCCATCTGGTCTGCTCTGTCTGTCTGTCACTTTGCTATCCAATCATTAAACAAGATAGTGTATTGATGTATCATGTATTTGTTTTAAGTTTTACCTCAGACTATACAGTACTATACTACTACTTTATTCCTAGCTATCCCACCGTAGAAAATGCTGACATTGGACTGTGTACATAAATAACAACAAAAGTCAGTTGCTCCCTGTGATCTGATAACTGCCGGAGTTCACATGATGGCAATCACTCCCTGGCAAAATTCTCTGCAGTGAACTTTTATACTTCATTTCTTTTGTCTTCTGCTTCTTCTTCTCAGTGGATGATTGGCAGGTGCTTTAGTGTGGTTTGCTCCTTCTAATCTATCAAATATCTATCATCCTTATAAAATCTCTCTTACTTTTTTAATGTAAAAACTTCCAATCTCCGGCACTCAGAATATGACCTTTTTTTGTTGCAAGTGTCATAAAACTCCTGCTGAAAAAAATTCTTTTTTTCCCCCTCTTGTCCTCCTCATTCTCTTCTCTTCTTCTTCTTTTTTTTTTCATCTTCTTCTTTTCATCTTCTTCTTCGTCTCTGCATTGTGCTCCAAGCAGGCTCCAGAGCTCCTTGACAGAGCATGACGTTTGTCTACTTTCCTTGAGCCCAGCTGATTGTTGTGTGTATGTTATATATAATATAATAAATATATGTGTACCTTGCACGTCCTTGTAGGTACAAAGTGAAAAGTTTGTATTATATAGTAGGCCTATAGTGCATTAGGGAATGTACCAAAACCCTAGCCAGAGTCAAGAAGCATCACCTCACTCACCCAGCTTGGCTCTTATCGTTTAGGGAGAGAGTTAGGAACATTTTCTCCGGTTGAATCCTCAGCTTTCATTGCTACATATTTACAGCAGTCATCTCTCGTTCGGAATACTGAAATTTAATTTTAGCATATATTTATATATTAATCTTTGAAAATCAGCTGTTTGTTGTTTTTAAACCTATCTAAATGCTTCCTGGTGTCCATATCTGAGGAACCAATCCCTAAGACTTGTACTACCATTTCTAGTTGTACCACAAGTTGTACAATTTCTAGGTTGTACCACAAGTTGTACAATTTCTAGGTTGTACCACAAGTTGTACAATTTCTAGTTGTACCACAAGTTGTACAATTTCTAGGTTGTACCACAAGTTGTACAATTTCTAGTTGTACCACAAGTTGTACAATTTCTAGGTTGTACCACAAGTTGTACAATTTCTAGGTTGTACCACAAGTTGTACAATTTCTAGTTGTACCACAAGTTGTACAATTTCTAGTTGTACCACAAGTTGTACAATTTCTAGTTGTACCACAAGTTGTACAATTTCTAGGTTGTACCACAAGTTGTACAATTTCTAGGTTGTACCACAAGTTGTACAATTTCTAGTTGTACCACAAGTTGTACAATTTCTAGTTGTACCACAAGTTGTACAATTTCTAGGTTGTACCACAAGTTGTACAATTTCTAGGTTGTACCACAAGTTGTACAATTTCTAGGTTGTACTACAAGTTGTACAATTTCTAGGTTTCTGCTTTTAATTGTCTCTTTTTAGCCCTTTGAAGAGTTAACGTGAAAGATATTTATAATGAAAGAAAATTCACAGACATGTAACCAAAATTCAAAATCTCATAGAAATAGTTTTAGTTTATGAGTATAAAATGAAACACAATGACTAAATGTTTTCCGAAAAGATTTAAGAAATTGGAAGAAAAATAGAGGATGGGAACTAGGTTTTGGAATGTTGAAAAATAGAACCAATTTAACGAGAAAAATGCAAATCCTAGAAAGGTCACAGAATCATGTTTCTTTCAGGTAATCAGCGAAAAGTGCGCCCAATAGGAGGCTACACTGCAGTATGAGATATCATCTGTTGAACAAGTCGTTGAAGTCGTTGACTTTTGCTGTTATGAATACACCACCCCTCTCTAATTTCAAGGTGGAAGGTTTCTGCTGAGTATTTTCCATCCTGTGTGCCCTTTCATATCAGAGTGTTTTTTGTCGGGTTTTCAATAATTTCCATACTCATACAACACTTAGGTAGCTATATATGAATTATTCATGTAGGTCCTACTGGTTTTTGGATCATGGGAAAATGTGTCTTTATTATTAGATAAATAGAAATGAACGGTCAGGGCATGTTTGGCAGTCGTTATTTCAGTTTGTCCACGCGAATGTATTCCTTTGGACATTGGGACCAGGGCATTCTAGTTTGTTGAAAAGATTTGATCTACACGTTGTCTTTGAATGTCATGTACCTTGATGCAGTCTCTTGTACCTTGATGCAGTCTCTCCACCCAAATCGGGAGCAATATGGATTTGTACTTTCTTTGAAATTACAATTAAAATTGATTTTATACAAAGTGGATGAGTGTCCATAAGTCTGTCCTTTTTGCATGACTGTGTGTGTGTGTCATTTCTCGTGGTAATTTGTTATATTATGAAACAACACACGTTGAAATATGGGAAGTTGCTGTTTGTACGGGTGATTTCCTATACAGGTGGTCGTAAGAGCAGGTTTATTAACAATATTATCCAAGGTAGAAATTTACCCAATTTTCAAAGTGCTAGCATCTGCGTTTGTTACCATTTTTTTTGTCTAGTGGGTGGTTGGCGGGTGCTCTGGTGTGGTTTGCTTCTTCTTTCCTATCAAACATCTATCGTCCTGATCTCCCCTTCATCTTTTGTATGTTTGTTACTCTCTTGTAACAGCTCTAATCTTCTGGCGCTCATACGACCTTATGCAGTTGAGAGCGCCGTAAAACCTCTACTAAAACTAAACTATAAAAGTTGCCATTAATTTTGGAGCTTTCAACTCTGTGAAGACGTACATATATAGCAACATGCTGATAGACACAACTTCATCTAAAACACCAGAATTTCTTGTGTCGCCACACACAGTGTCAAAACTAGAGAAATAGAAATTTCACTACAGAATAAAAGCAAAGTTAGAATAGCACATATTTATACAACCACAACAATTAGGAAATAAGGGCGTTTGTCCTCCTATCCGAAGATTGGCCGTTTTAACCCTAAATGTGTGTTATTCAAGAAAAAGTACAGGATATTACTTGTAAATTTATGGAATCACACACAAGGGGCCTGCCAGTGTATTCGGTTTTGGTGGAGACGCGCTCGAACATACATGTAACACATTTATATAAATTTTAAAAGGGCAAGAACAAATTAAATTCCATTACGCTATATAAACACACAAAAAATAGAAAAACAACACATCAGAACAATAAAAAAATGAACACACCAACAAATCTAAAATACAACAAAGATGGGAAAATAAAAGACAAACACACAGCAGTATGTAGGCCCTATGTAATTCTACACACAGCAGTATGTATGTAATTCTACACACAGCAGTATGTATGTAATTCTACACACAGTAGTATGTAGTAATGTAATTCTACACACAGTAGTATGTAGTAATGTAATTCTACACAGGGTAGTATGTATGTAATTCTACACACGGTAGTATGTATGTAATTCTACACACAGTAGTATGTAGTAATGTAATTCTACACACAGTAGTATGTATGTAATTCTACACACAGCAGTATGTATGTAATTCTACACACAGTAGTATGTAATGTAATTCTACACACAGTAGTATGTAGTAATGTAATTCTACACACAGTAGTATGTATGTAATTCTACACACAGTAGTATGTAGTAATGTAATTCTACACACAGTAGTATGTATGTAATTCTACACACAGTAGTATGTAATGTAATTCTACACACAGTAGTATGTAGTAATGTAATTCTACACACAGTAGTATGTATGTAATTCTACACACAGTAGTATGTCATGTAATTCTACACACAGTAGTATGTCATGTAATTCTACACACAGTAGTATGTAGTAATGTAATTCTACACACAGTAGTATGTATGTAATTCTACACACAGTAGTATGTCATGTAATTCTACACACAGTAGTATGTCATGTAATTCTACACACAGTAGTATGTAGTAATGTAATTCTTCGTAGAAAAATAACTCTACATGGACACCTTAAAATTATCAAAATACACATGTCTAATACTAATAAGCAGTAGGTTATGAAGTAGCTTTTTTCCTTTAAAAATGCTAAAATTCTCGGCGGCGACAAACGCAAATGCTAGAAAGGGAAATATCTCTAGATCGCAAAGAGAAAGGAACCATTGTTAACTTCTTTTGTTTTTCTGTTTTAAATCATCAGAAGTGCCCCATAAGCCTAGATACATTTCAGTTTGTTACTCACATGAACGGGACATTGTACTCACACATATAACGATGATACAGGACCGTAAGTTTTCCACAACACAATGTTTATTTCTTGTTAAAAGAAAAAAAAGATACAAGGACGGGAAAAGGCACATTTGAAAACACAAAAACAAGCACAATATTGGAATGTTATAACAATTGAAAACACAAAAACAAGCACAATATTGGAATGTTATAACAATTGAAAACACAAAAACAAGCACAATATTGGAATGTTATAACAATTGAAAACACAAAAACAAGCACAATATTGGAATGTTATAATAATTGAACAGAAAGAAATCAACACTACTATATATGTCTACAGAATGGAATGACTCGACAAATTCCTGTCAATTTACTGTAAATTTTGATATAAGACAGGCACATAAGGACCTTGGGTAAGCGTAGTACAAGAAAGATGCGTAGATAACGATAAAGTTATACATCACATATTATATATATTCTATGATATGTATACAGTACATCGACATATTCTATGATATGTATACAGTACATCTATATGACTGTCCTCAGAGAAATTCGCGCCCGCAACCCGCAAGTTGCGCGCGCAACTTTTGCCCTCAGCGCAACTTTCGCGCAACTTTTACCATTTTCGTGAATTCGCGAATTTTAGCTAATTTCCCGAAAAATTTGGGAAAATAATAGTAAAATTTCTTTAAAACATTGAAATTTCCTTCCACGACTTAAAATAACGACGCCAAGGGGGACAATTAGCTCTTTTGCACTACGGGGTGCTCGCCGCCGCCCCGTGACCCGGACCGGGTCAGGTCGGGTCGGGATGATCGCCCGACTCGTCGCCTGAAAACAACGTGTTTGTTTTGAAACGAGTCGGGTGCGATCGACTTGTGCCACGATGGCCGCTTTGCGCCATCAATCTGGCGAGCAAACCGACCCAATAGTCTTGTTTGGACTCAATCATCTTCTAGTCTAGCTAGTGATCGAGAATCTAGATCTAGAGGAAATATCAATTGTAGACACGGTCGTCTGATTATTTAGCTTGCTTGTGGCAAGGGAAACTACCCATGAATAAGTACAGCTGGATTAGTCCACAAATGCTTACTTTCCTTGCATTTCTGATTTAACAGGGATCGGATATAACAGGACATTTTCTCTACTCCCACCATCCCTGCTATATCAGGTTTCCACTGTATATTATAAAGAAAAGGTTAACTCTTTTTATCCGGGCTACGAGTATACTTGTAATGAGGACCAGTCCGGGCTACGAGTATTCTCGGAACAGCGATACGGTCTCATCAAAGAAGCTAGTTCTGCTTGTAATTACCAAAATACGCAAATACGGCAATGCTAGCTCTGTGTGAATATTTTAATTTTCCAATGAACAGCTGTTTTTTTGTTTTTGATGGTTGTAGAAGCTTGAAAGATGTCTCGAAAATGCACACTCATGACCGACGAAGTTGCGCTGGGTTGTGAGGGGGAATGATACTAATTTGATGATAGTGACTCTGAAATAAGTGCCGTAAATTCCGTTGTGGATGATAAGAAACAGGACTTACACTCATCTAATAGCGATTTAGATCATGGTGAAGGGGTCAGTACTGGAATTCGTGTTCGATGGGTAGGGCTAGATCTAGATCTATAAAATCCAGTGGGACGTCGTGGGCGCGGCAATCAGGGTCAAGTTCGAGGGTGGAATACACCTCAAAATCTACATTGTGATTGGTGTATTTTCCTAACCACATACATTTACAAAAACTACATTCAATTTCTAACATAACTGTCAAATTTCCTTTAAAACCTTAGAGTAAAAGTAAGAAATATAGCACTTTGAACTATATGCACTGACTTCCGACTCATACGGCGCGGCAGCCCCAGGACGGGTACAGAGTCCGTGGGGGTACGGCTAGGATAAAAAGAGTTAAACGTGTTTTCTGAGGTACGACTTTTTTGTCCTTTTCACCCCATTGCTCAAAAATAGCTTTGTGGACCACAGGGACCTTTCTCCATGTACACACACACACACAAAATATGACAAAAGACAGACACATAAAGAATGACCACAGACTTACATCATCACACGAATGACAAAAGACATACTCAAACCAGTATTGACAAAAGACTCTTCTACAATCCCATGTATAGCAAAGAAAATTACATGTTTAAAAATTAAAGTATACTAAATGACTGACACAGTAACAGAGATGCCAACCAGTACGATTTTACGTATTTGAGTACGATTTTACGTATTTGAGTACGATTTTTGGCCGAAAATACACGAATACGACTTTTCATGAAAAAATACGCATCCTGGAATGCGAAAACTACGAGATTCAGCATGGGCGAGTAAACTTAATTAATTATCTCGGGTCCCATTTTTTGTCAAAATAGTATCAGTATCGCAGACCTGGAAATTTGAAAAGCAAGTCTGATGTGGTCAGTAAGTTCATTTTTGCCGGTCGCGATCGTGATGTTCGTTCATCTTTTCCCCGTCTGGAGAGTACGTTTCTGTTTCACGCGAAAAGGCTATGGCGGAAGCGTATGCGACACCAGAGACACTAAAATATAATGAAATACTCTCTGGCGACACCGAGGCTCGATCAGGAAAATCAAGATCTACTTTCGCTTTCGTTACCACCGAGAAGTTTGCCAGCAGTTGTCATGTCTGATGACGCAACATTTGTGGCATGTAGGTTGTGCAGTAGAAACACAATGTCGCCGTTCAAATAAAATGTAATAAATACTCTGACTCGTCGCTGTACTGTCACTTGTGGAAAAAAAAAGAAAAGAAAATACAAGCGTCGTCCGATTTTTAGATTGTCTGGCTCGCCATCATGACCGGTCACTGACCCTGTGCGCATTCGCGTCAAAAATAAATGCGGCATCGTAGTGAGTAAACACCGTCTTTGGTGGGAGGAACGGCGTTGCGAAGTATAGGACTACGGAATAGGGGAATTAATTATTGTTGTTGTTGTTTTTTTAAGATACTATCGGGGGTTGAAGGCAACACCAGGGGACAAAAACTTGAAGCAATTTTCCGAATTTTGATTAGAGCTTTCTGCCAAGCGCGCCTTGGTGCAGGCCATGTGCGGAATCGGGACCCTTCAAACTTTGCAAGTCTGTGTTATTGAAATAAAGTGTTCGCGTTTCATTGGATGGGTGATAGAAAATTATACCTACTTGGATGGGTGATAGGAAATTATACCTACAGTGTATGTTGTAGCTTTCTGTTCAAGACTGGCAGATTTTCAGTGTCACTGCATCTTGCCCTACCACAGTTTTTACAACTCTCACAGTGCATGGGTCTACTTGAGCCATTCAAGTTATTGCTTTTCTCTGAGTTTGAGCAATAATTTGAGTCTGTCAGTTCATAATATGAATCATGACACCCAGACTGGTTCTTGATAGTCGAAATTCTTGTTCTAAGCCCTTCCGAACTCTCAAAGCAGGGTTTATTTTTTTATATAATAATGAGAGGAAAATATTATATAATAGACTGAAATACTGAAATGGAACAAGACCCCTGTACAACATTGCACACTGACATGTTGTTGACTGGATACATGTATGTTGTACGCGTGTGTGCTTCTTTTTTCCAGCTGGTGAGCTGGTAATTTTTTTTGCTGGACACCCTGAACATTTGACTATTTCTGGTTGGTCGACCATCAATGATTTATTTATAGAGGCACCAGCCATCCATGTCCAGGTGAAGCCTACTGGTTGGTCGGTCGGTCGTGGGGATACACATTTTCACCTGAAAATACACATTTTCATATTTCCCAATACTCATTTCGGTTTTCTGTGGTTGGCATCTCTGCAGTAACTGCGCATGGTGTATGATAAGAAAGCGACAGCACTGTCAACAAAACCAAGCTATGACTCATGACAAGCACAGACTGTTTCCCCCAGTCAAGGAGATGGGACCAAGACAAGAACTGAACCAAGCAGCTTGTTCTCCACACACTATCTTATTATTACAACTACTATCATCACAAGATTCTACAGCACACAAAATAAAAGGGCAGCACAAAACAAACATAATCACACAAATAAATCTGGGCCAAAAAAAATCTTCGGGGTTAAAATCCTGCTGCTTTACTATATATATATAAATTCCTTACCAGACATAAGTTCCCCAGAAAAGGCCCTGAACGTACCAACAAAATTGTCACTATCAAAGTAACAAATATCCACACACACTCTCCTCGTATAAATATATAGATATATGTATAATTTCTACTATATAACTCCAGAATGCAGATCTTCATCTCCAAGGAAGGTAGAGGTCTAGATATAAAATCTTTAGCGAGTCCATGAGGTGTAAAATAAGCCCAAAAGGAATGTAAAAACTGCATAGAATTGTAGAACTATAAACTACAACAAATTGTATATATATAACATACATACATGTATTATAATTCCTGACAATGGAATGTAGAACTACTCGACTACAAGGGCGTTATCTCCTCGTGGAGGAATGTGCAGTTAGCGCACGGTCTGGCCTGCGCTTTTCACGACTCTGTCAACAATGAACTTAAATAGTAAATTTCAGCCCAACCTCACCCATGCTAAATAAGCCAGTCGACCCAACTCTCAATAAGCCAGTCGACCCAACTCTCAATAAGCCAGTCGACCCAACTCTCAATAAGCCAGGCGACCCAACTCTCAATAAGCCAGTCGACCCAACTCTCAATAAGCCAGGCGACCCAACTCTCAATAAGTCAGTCGACCAAACTCTCAATAAGCCAGTCGACCAAACTCTCAATAAGCCAGTCGATGAAACTCTCAATAAGCCAGTCGACCCAACTCTCAATAAGCCAGTCGATGAAACTCTCAATAAGCCAGTCGATGAAACTCTAGATCTGTATCTCCCACAGGGCCTGAAAGAGAAATCTGGAACACATAGGCCAGGCTGGGAGGTAACTGGGGACTTGTGTGAGTCATTACGGGAACACAGGACTTTACCTCTCTCTATATGACATGATTCCCCGTTTGGACTTCTCTGTTGACATCCACCCCTTGGCCCTCAAATGTGACCTTATGAGGTTGCGAGGCCTGCAAAAACTTACTAAAGCTAAAACGAAAAATTTATCTAGAGGCAATTCCCTGGGTTTTTCTGTACAAAGTGCATAGAGTATGACAGACCCAACCCATGATGCTGAGCAAAATGGAACAGTCATTGCATATATTTCACGGTTGTTACTCTTACTGAGCAGAATTTCTCGACTACCAGTACAACTGATCGACTGTGGAGTCGGCTCAAACTGAAATCTGCGGGAGATCTAAGTTTTCTTCAGTTTAGCCGAGATGTCCGTTTCGACAAGTTGTGTCAATATAGGAGGGAAACAACTAGGTTTTCTTTCGGTTGACCACAGTTTTCAGAACATTTGTATAGGGTTTCAGTGGATTCCACCACGGTGTGTAAACTACAGAAGAAGCACGACTGTATGAGGAGACTTTCTCTAACTCTGACATCATCTCATTCAGTAAGTGTCGCTTCGTGGATCAGTCCCAATACAACCGCTGTCCACAGGGACTCTATACAACGGGTGTCCTTAAAACAGGGAATGTGACTTCCTCACGCTTCATGTTCATTCCCCATCTTCTCTCCATCCCTCACATTCTCCAACACAAAGTAATGCGACTCAGCTTGTCGATCGTCTTTCTTCGTCCTCTTGGCCGGTACGGGCCCCAGCCGTTTGTCCTCCTGGACAGACTCCACTGCCTCGTAGCCTGCGGCTTTGTCCTTCTCCACCTGATCCTCCCCACCCTCGGCTGGGGGGCTGGGCATCGGCTGGAAGTAACCGCCGTCGATGTCACTGTCGTCCAGGCCAGGCGACTGCGGCTTGAGAGCTTCGTCGTCTTCTGCTCGCTCGCTGTACTTGGGGGGCAAGTCGTAGCCGGGGTTGTTGGCCTGTTTGGGGAGAGGTAGCCGCGGCCTGGGGGGGGGGGGGGATCCGCTCTGAAGACAGTGTCAGGCGGGGAGTTTTACTGGCGCGGTACATCTGTCAAAAGGTCATATAAGTGCCGAAGACTAGAGGTGTTACAGGAGAGTAACAAACACAAAAAAGAAGGTGGGGAGATAAACAAGATAGATGTTTGATAGGAAAGAAGGAGCAAACCACACGAGAGCACCCACCAACCACCCATCTCCCAAAAAAGTGGGAAAAAAGGGAAACAGGACCCAATCCAGGTGTTCATATATTATCGTTCCAGTCGAAAACTTCCGCGGTGATACACAAAGGTAAAACGACAGAACATTATAAAATAATATGTATAAAAAATATATAATATGTATATATAA